TTTAAGACCCTTTGGAGTCTTTATCTTCGCAGGTGGAACCTCAAGTCTTTCTTCTTCTGGAGGTTCATGTGATGCAGAGGATTCTGCAGGTTTGTCCCTAGAACCTGATGATGGTTCCGATGGTCCGGAAGGCTCAGGAACATCACCAGATGGTTCTGGTGGATCAAGTTTCTTGGCAGATGATTCTGCCGGATCAGATGGAAGAGGCTTCTTTTTACCTGAAATCCTCTTCGGTGGTGGATCAGCTGCTCCCTCAGGTGCTTTGTCACAACCCTTGAGGTACGTGTGAGCCCTTTTCTGTCCGGCACAGGCTGGACAGCGACCTTCCGGTATCCTAGTATAAGGCTTATTGGCTCCTAGAGCAGTCTCCGTCGCACTGAACGACGTACCTGACTTAGGGAGGTACTTCCTGGTGGAAGTAAAGCCTAGAAGGTCCAATACCAAATGGTTATTGGTACTAATCGGAAGAGGGGTTTTATACAAACCGAAAGCTTCACACGTTGCTAGGTCAGCTGTTGGACTACACTCGAGGGTCATTCTTAAATTCCTCATCTGTTCGATGGAAAACAAAATGGGGACTCTTCCCTGATCCAAAACTTCTATGGTTGTATCTCTTCTTGGAGTTGTGTTAAACCATAGAGTTACACGCTCCTTGATAAGAGCTGTTTCACTATCTGCGAAAGAGAACTTCGTGTTCGAAGGTGAAAAAGTGAAATCAATCATGCCTGGGGCATGTTGCTTCACGGCCTTGATAAGCCTGTTCACCGCATAGCGGGAACCCATAGCCCTAGTACAACCAGAGTCAAGTATGACAAAGGTAGGGCTCTTATCAAGATTGATCCGCTCTGTGAGAGCAGATAGGACGGTGTGCTGCAACGGAAACACTGCTGTTGCAGTCTCCACACCTTGCCCCTCGGATGGTTCAGAGACCTGGGGCACGTAACTCACTGATGAGTTGTACACGGGTTCTTGGTGCGCGCTCGGATCTGTGCCTCTACCTGATGATCCTGCTTGATTTCTTCTCTTCTTTCTCCGTGTCTTTCTTCGTGAGGCTTGTGATGCATAGTATGTATAAGACGTTTGATCGTCATAAGCGGCATAATTCCAACTGGAGTCAGTATAATAACTGTCCTCATACCATGAATCCCAGCTCGGTGCGGTGGAACTTTCATAGGCCTGTGGAGATCCAGTTTGGTCTCCTTGTAAGGAGGCAGACTTAGCTGTATCCTTACCTTTGCCTTTTGATTTTGTACCCTTTGAAGGAGCTTCCTTTATCTCCTTTGTCCTTTCCTTTTCCTTTGCCTTTTCCACCTTTTCCTTTTTCCTTTCCTTTACCTTTACCGAAATAGCTGGAATCAGTTGGATCATGTTCTGCCTGGTTGGCTCTCCCTTTTCCGCGGTATGACCTAAAACGGCCACGTCCTTTTCGCTTGCCACCCTTTGCTCTTCCCGGTGATCCGGGACGCATTCTTGGTCTTCTTCCCTTTTTGAATCTCCTTGCAACGAAGGCCTCATGGTCATCAACTGTCCAGAAGACAGCTTCTTCATCCTCGGCGGCAAGAAAGCCTTCCTCAAGGGTGTCTTCGTCTTGGAGCCAGAATCCATCGACTCCGTCGTATTCACCCTGATCGAGGATGAGGAAGTTTCGACCTCCGCGTTTGCGGCGTTGGTCTCTCCTTCCATGGCGGTCCTTCTTGTGAGAAGAGTGCCGAATGTTGGGATCCTGCAGACCAGTTCTGGTCGTTGAGAACTGATCGAACATGGTCTGCCGTACCACAGGGTACGTGTAGGTCTCAATTCGGTAACCTTGGTTGGTCAATGCTGTTACCAACCTCTCACGTTGCATCTCATTTAGGTCGGACTGCACTAGGAAGAGGAGAGCTAGGAGATTATCATTTAGAGGAAACGCTCTTCGATGATTATCAAGGCGTTCCTTGTTCCATGTTTCGAAGAAACGTGCGGCGTATGTGTCTCTCTCGGTTGCATCCTGTAGGCGCAAGAAGGTTTGATCTGCCTGCACAGCCTGCATGAAATCAGGATGGGCATCTTCCAGAGCTATCTCTGGTAAGAGATCCATCCATGAGTTTCTCACGCGCTGTAGCACGATCTCAAACTTAGCAATCCAAGTCACAAAGTCTTGGTTGCCCTTCCATGCCTTGAATAGGCCGAGGAAACGCCACAGGAAAACGTACTGTTCTCCTTTCACGAAAAATGGACGCATCTTCTTCTTGAAGTAATCTACTCCATCTGGGGCTGCAAGCCTTTCTCGGTTGAGTGATTCTTTTTGTACTGCGGCCAATCCGGAGAGCCTCGTCTTGAGAGACGGACCTCTTTTGGTGTCATCCAGCGTTGTTATGTCGCACCAGTCGTCAATCAACTGTTCATACTCAAACCACGAGGTGGTGCCATCATAGGCAGGCGCGATCTTGGGCGTTATGCCTAATGATGCAAGCATGCGGTCAGATGTTGCATATGACTGTGCGACATAAGTAGCTGGACCTTGGGAGGTCTCTTCGTTCTCATATCCCCCGGAGGATTGGGAACTGCCGTCGGCTTCGCTATGCGAGCTCGACATTGTGCTGCCTCTTATCCGCTTGGTTAAGCGTTCGGCGAGGCCGACCGCTGTAGCGGACTTTGTGAGGCGGGCGGCCCTTTCCGGGCTCCGCTACCAGAAAACTGTGCCGATACACCCCCAAGGGATACTCCTTGTGAGGAGGTGTATGACCAGTTATTCCCTAAGGATCAAAGGGCAGCGCCCTGCACACGGACAGTAGTTGTTTTGTCTTGCTACGCAAGGAGAGCTTGTCTTGTCTCAATATGGTAAAACCACTGTGAGCCAATGGGCAGCGGAATGTATATGTATGAGCATGCAGCCATTGCTGTAGGTACCTGTTAGAGCTACCCCTTTAGAGGTTTATGGTTTCACCCCACCCCCCTTCCCCCCCCTCCCCCCTCCCCACCCTCCCTCCCCCCTCCTCCCTTCCCTCCCGCCCCTCCTCCGCTCGCTGACAGGTGCGAGCTTTCTGGAGTTTTCGACGACACGGGACTGCAATGTAGCATCTTTATGTGTTGGGGCTCGCCTTTAAGGCTGCAGTACCAAGCGAGTTTCAAACCTGAATTCCTACAAGAGCTTGCTGCAGATAGTAGCCACTCGCCGCATGCGCGTACAGCCGGGCCGAGGCGGACGACGCGCAGCGTTTCAAATTATAGTACACTTATAGATCCCTTATCTAGGATACCCAGTAACCTAAGAATAAAAAGGCCGCTCTTTTTGGTATTGGGTAACTTTATAAAGAACCTAGGACTACAAAAAGGGAATAAGGGTACTACTGGGCATCCTAGTTACAGAAACCCTTATAGCCCGTTTTAAGAGACCCGACTCTTTTTGTGTCTAGATCGTTTTTGTTGCTTGCTTTTCTTTGGGGCTCAGGGGCCTTAAGGAAGAGAAGAGGGGTTTCCGAAAAAAGGGGACTGCATGGAGGCAACAATCATACTAGCTGGGGTTTGGGGTTTAGGGTTGAGTTTAGGGGTTTGGGTTTAGGGTCGAGGGTTTAGGGGTTAGGGTTGAGGGTTGAGGCTTCTCTACTTCAACTGTCTGCCAGGTCTCTGGAAGCTTCTCCAGCAGCGTGCTACACGTGTTGAAGACAGCCTCGCCGATGTCACCTGGCATCGTCTGAAGACGTCTTTTTCGGGTAGCGAAAATCGTTCATAATATTGGCACCTCAGGCGCCATTCTTAAGAACTTGGACGGCCAGGGTAGGATGACAAACAAATCCAAAGATCAAATTCCAGAAAGCCTGGCACGGATCCTGGGTTTAGGGTTTACGATTCCCCCCCTACCTGAGCCTAGGAGAAAGGTGGACCATTTTAGTTATTCTGCTTACCCTAGTTGCTAATAGTATGATCCTATCCACAACTGGTTACCACGGGAGATACAAGGCACCACTGCTTGTGCCCTTAAACCCTACAGATTTCTGGGCCCTGTAGAAATGCACAAATGGTGAAGCGCCTACGGAAAAGCAAACCGAAGGACAAGAACACCAACATAGGATCGGGTCTTGAGAGAAATTAGCCAAATCCTAAACCCTGCCCGACCAGGACCTCCCAAGCGCCCCTTAATAGCCCTTATGGCCCTTCATAGCGGATATAGTGTAGGTATATCAGAGGGTAGCTGGGGTGTCTAGGTACACCCCAAGCCTCAAACCCTAAACCCGTACATTTTGCGGCTTAATGAAGGCTCTGGATCGTTGCGGAACGCCTGCAATCTGATCTGTAACACCATGTAACACCATGTTGGGAAACCTCGCTAAGCATAGTTACAGCAGCCTCCCGGCTTGTTCGCGTATCACAACAACAGCAAAATTAACAGAGCATCTTGATTATTGCAGGTAAGCTAACGAATGGTAGTACTAAGTACCCCGACGCCCGTATGATCCAAGCCCTGCTCGATCGTAACGTACCCGCCATGCCTATCCCGAACCCCAAACACATGCTAACTCTAGACCTATAAACCCCACACCCCAACCCCCAATCCCTAAACCCTAATCCCTAAACCCTACACCCTAAACCTTACACCCGACACCCTAACTTCCAATCCCTGAGCCGAGGCTTGGAAGATCAGGCGCGCACATATAAAACATCTTCACATAGATAGTCTGCTCTGTACATATCTTATACTGAACTTAGACCCCTAGCAGAGTTGTAATTAGGGGTTACATGCTCTGTACATGTACTGTCATTATAGAGTTAGGTCCCTGAAACCATGACAAGGTTGGTCTTTTGGGACCGACTTCCATAACGGTAGTGTATGAGGAGCCTAGTGGTGACATAGTCTGCTCTGTACATATACACGCTATCAGGGTTTAGGATTTCGGGTTTTAGGCTTTAGGGTAATTTAGGGGTTTAGAGTTCAGGGGTTTAGGGTTTAGGGCTTAGTGGTTTAGGGTTATGCTACCTATAAAGGTGATTTATGTTATACAAGAGGCAAGCAATGTCCCGACCTCCGGCAGAGCCGCCACCTGGACAGTCCACAGCTTGGACTTCCCAAAGGGTCCCAGGTACCTATAGTCGAATGCTATTATGATTTGGGAAGATATTCCCCATAGCAATCCCTTGGACCCTTTCGGCTTACTTGCTGAGGAGCTGAGTACCGCAACTCCACAGGGGAGGGAGCTCCAATGAGCTCCAATAGTTGACGTTGTCAGGGTTCAGAGTCTGCTTAGGGGCACAGTAACCAACCCCCCTAGCCCAAAAAGGTCAACGTTTGAATCATGGTAGAGTTATATATGCATATAACTATATGGGTGGCTCTCTAAACTAGGGTCCCCTTCAGGTTGCTCTCCTCCACCATGTTACCCTGATTCGAGAGGGACTGTAGGCTATAGATATTTCGGTTCTGTGAATTCCACGGGCGGAAAAAGCAGATTCTCCTCAACCCTACAGTAACCCCTGAAACCTGAAGCGCGTTCATGGAAGCCCGACGGAAGGAAGTCTTTTCGAACCCAGCTTTGCGAATCCTTTGCTAAGACAAAGCTCGTGGTTGTTACAATTTGGGGGCGTAAGTAAACAGCAACACTATTCCGTAGAGATCCATAGTACACATCTGGCATTAGATACCCCCAAACCCTATTCTCTGTATGAAGGCCCCTATATAACATGGGGTATAGGAAACTCCAGAAAGTTGGAATATGGTTTCATGGTAGGATACCCTATAATTTACCATAGAAGGGTCAGGACAATCATATTCCAACTTTCTGGCTTTTACTTTATTCCAGAGACCGACAGATACGAATGCCAGGACTCCCGATCAAAACCTTGCCCCAACTTTGAGCGTCAATTTACGTGTGCATGGCTTCTCCTTATATGGGAGTTTCCGAAAATAGGGGACCTTAAAAGCTTGCCTTGTTGTTAAGTGCAGGCTTTCGGCCTCCACCACGGACCTCGATCATGGTTTGCATCAGCGTGTCCTTGGCTTGTCTTAAGAAATTCGTTGAGCCAAGGCACACCCGAAAGACCATGAATGCTTCACACCCCCACACCAGCTACACACTTGAGATTGAAACCGCAGAGACACGTTAACTAACCCCGAACCAATTGTAGTCCCGAGACCTACAGATCTAGGCTTTAGGATTTAAGGGCTTTGGTTTATGGCTAAGGGCTTCGGCCCTGCGTAGAGCTATGCGCTTATGTGCTAAAGCCCTAAACTAAGACCTGAACCCAACTGAACAGCTGAGCTCGTTGCCTCTACACATATGAACAAGTTGTTCATGGCTAGCCCATGGATGATTTGGGGGGTTTTATATAGCTTTACAAGGATTCCGTCCCATGTTTCTGTGAGGTATCGCTTTGCTCTTGCGAAAGTAAGAAGACCATCAGACTCACTGATCCTACTGCCTTTGACCGCCCCCCTTGACCTGCTTTTTGCTGCCCTTGACTGACTGACGGCTGTAGTTGCCCTTAACCCTTTAAATCTTAGCCACCGAAGCCTACATGCTAAACCCAAAAGCCAAACTCAAACAACGTGACGAAACCCTAAACCCCTAACGGCCTTCAACCCACAAACCTAAAACCTTGTAAACCATACTTGGAGAGGATCATGGGAGGTAGTAAGTACGGTTATAAGTACCTTAATTGGGGTTATAAGTAACTATGAATATGGCTACCCCGAAAGCCCTGAGGCCAAGGATGAGAACATCGAAGCCAGCGGCCGTGTCGGCTAAGGAGGAGGAAATCTCGGCATTCGTGTGCTGGCCGAAGGCCTGGTTTCTGGAAGGGCCCAGGGGTTTCGTAGGGATTTAGTAGGGGTTTAGAGTTTATGGTGTAGGGTTTAGGGTTTAGGGTGTAGGGTTTGGTAAGGGTTTAGAGTTTAGAGTTTAGGGTGTAGGGTTAGGGTTTAGTAAGGGGTTTAGGGGTTTAGCCACGGTTTAGAGTTTAGGGTTCGGGGGTTTAGAGTTTAGGGTTTAGGGCTTCAGGGGTTCGGGGTTTATGATTTGGTAAGGGGTCTATAAGGGTTTACGTAGAGTTTAGAACCTTGTAAGGGGCCATAAGGGTTTTGGGTACAGGGCTCCCACAAGGGGACTATCAGGGTTTTAAGGATTGGGGCAAAGGACTGATGACAGAAGTGGTTTAGGGTTTTAGGAATTAAGGTTTAGGGTGTAGGGTTTTACGGTTTAGGTTCGAGGGGTTGAAAATGAGGGTTTAAGGTGTAGAACTAGGGCTTCTGGGTTCAAGGTTTTTCGGGTTTAATGACAGAAGGAAAGGCTCAGGAGTTTAGGGTTCAGGGGTTTCTGGTTGAGCCATAACGGCTCTGTAAAGGGTTCTAAAAAGGTTCAGGACTGACAGAAGGAAGCCTACCTGTCCACTTTGCTAGGGGGACTAAGGGTTAACCTTTGGGATTATTTATAAGGATCTTGGCACACCAAAGGCTACAGGTTACCCACTCTGCTACTGAGGAAGGGTTTGAGGTTTGAGGGTTAAGAGGTGTAGGGTTTAGGATGCGGA